CATTTAGCATATCTCTTGAAACAGTTTCGAGATTGTGCAAGTCAGCTTTCGATAAACTTTTTAAAATAAATTTACGGCACTTCACCAGTCTTATTATGTCTTCTTGCAGTTCCATCACTTACGAATTTCGCGACGATTAAACTACTTGTGCTTGTAACGAGCTCGTACGTAATTTAAATACGTACTATTCATATAAAAGGCGTTAATAGTTTAGCGTCTGGTAAAAAATAGTCGATTTCGTAGGAATTTGAGACTTTTCATGATTGAACTTGTGTAAAAGCGCTTAAAAACTAGCCGCGATATCACTAGGTAAAAATTGGGAATGCATGAGAAAGTAGCATGCAGCGTTAAGTTTAAATGAGATTATTACAGCCAACTAATTTCTGTTCAATTAAAAGTTTCTAAAACTCTTATCGATAGACAGCGGATTTCTATGCAAAATAGAAGATTGAAGATGGTCAGCTAAGGAAGTGTATTCCGAATCTTTTCTTTATCATTTGAGCATTGCAACATGATTTTCAAATTTTGTTAACTATCGAGAACTGTTCCAATTTTTATTTCCGATTCTACAAGAGTTGAAAAAATTCACGGGTATACTACCTGACATACTGTACATAATACAATTTTTATAGCTTTCTAGAATAATAATCACCATTCGAAAAAAAGTTTTCAAATGGTGAAATAATGAATTTGAAGCAGTATCATATGCTTGTATTTTTTTCCACTTCTAACTTATTGAAAAAATTCAAGGATGTACTATTAAGCAAGTAGTATAACTGAGAATTTTTCTAATTCGTTTCATGCATAATTTATATTGGATAAAAATTCACAAAGTTTGCAAATTTTCAGATATTCCCATAATTGAATGTGTATAGAATACGATTTTCGATATTTTTTGCCATTGATTTCTAGTTTTTATTTTGTATAGTTTTAATCAACGTTTGTATCTCCAGCAGATTCAATTATTTCGTAAATGCATAAAATGCGCGGTCTACTTATCGATTGGAATGGAATTCAGCAGTCTATCAAGTCAACCAGAGTCAATCATTCTAATTGTTATTAAACGAGCGGGATGATCGATCATTAATTTCCTATCCTACTTTCAGCATATTAAGCTATGGAATTTCAACTGGAATAAATTACCAGTTCGTATTAAAAAACTAGTCTAGAATTTTTTCAAATCTTAACTGGAAGATTTCAATTCCTGTTCTTACGTACCTCGCGAATTTTTCCTATAATAAATAGTTATTATCTTACAAAAATATCAAGCCTTGAAATTTCGCCCTCCGTAAAGTATGTAATAAAGAACAGAAGTAAGATAAGTGTCCTAATTTCTGTCCATGTTGCAAATTCTACTCGCTGGCATATTTTTTAGTAATTTTATGTTGTCTTGAAATTATGGAAAAATAGTAAATAGAATTTTATGTGGTATCTTGAAGTTATAGAAAAATAAGTTGGAGAATAGAATTTCATACGGTATCTTATTGTTAGAATTATAGAAATTAAGCTAGTGATTAAAATTTTATGTTATTAAAAATATTGAAAATATATTACAAATATTATGACGTTAAAAATAAGCCAGTAAGTAGAAATTGTGACGTGACCAGAAACTGGGACATTTACCTTATTCGCACAGACGAAAAGCCCGATGTTTTCTACATTACTATGTATGTTTAAATATGTCCAAAAGTATTTGTCAATATGGACTTCTTAATTTCATTTCGTCGTTGCACGATACTTTCGAACTTCATCACATATCCTTCATTCCGTCAAAAAAGATGAAAAAACCACGAGTACAAAGCATTATTATTCGATTAACACCCAGAACTCGACTCATAGGGTTCTCCCGAAAAATTCTACATATCCTTCATTTAAATTCTCATGGCAATCACGCGAAACGTGGAAAGAATAGGATACGTGACCTGATCCAAACATAAAGAGACTGATTATTCCCAGGAGGATAATAAAAACTTCATACAAGAGGCTGAGTTTCACTCTAAGTATGCGTCCAAGAAGTTTACGACGTGGTATTAAGAAATAGTCGTAAAATTAAGATAATTACTTGTGGGTGGTTAAAATCCGCGAAATCAGCGAATTTATGCAAAACAGATTTAAGGAAATGCATTTGAGATTGGAATTTCTTATATCATTTAACTATTGCGATATGCATTCACTGTTCATATTTGTTATACTTTCGTCAAACGTTCATACTTGAAGTAATTATTTAATGAATGCATTGAATCCGCAGTTTAATAAAATTCGTATGGAAGACTACGAAGAATATGATCGGTCTCGTTACTATTGGACAAGGTATCGGAATTCGAGGACAATCGGACTGTTAAAATATTACGCACTCGCAGCACTGCTGCGTGAAGTATATACAGTCGACGATGCAGGAGTCGTTGTCCGGTTGACCGACCGGTTTCTTATTGTCCGTCGCGTCGATGTTGTTCCTCTCGATTTTCGGCCGGGGCTCCGGCACCGGTAGCACTGCCTGCGCGATCGACACCGCATTCTCGATGGTCTCGATGTCCGTGTCGACGGCATTCAACAGTTTGCTCGTCACGGGTGTCGTAGGTGTGGTCGGCGTGATTTTACCGAGACCCGCTTCGTCGGGCACATCGTAATCCACCAGAGGTATGGACGTCTGCAGCGGCGGCGGTGAATCGCTCGACATGATGACACTGGAAAATACAAGAGACGAGGATCGTCCTCAGATTTCGCGTTCCAGCTTTCTTTCTTCTTATTAAACGATCTTTAACGCTGTCTCGGGTTTTTCACGATACTCTTTCTCTTATCAGAATTATATGCAGGGTGTTCTATGTATTGGAGATATTTCAGAACTGAATAACTGTTTTAACACTAATCCTATCGACGGTCTTTTCTAACAAACTTCATTAAAAATTATATGAAACTGCATTTTACTTAGAGGAATAGAGTGTATCTTATATTGTAAATTATCTACACCAAGTTTGATCTGAAATGCTATACGTATTTTGTTAAGTAATTAGTCTATAGCGTTTAATAGTCTGCATAAGATAAAAGTTATTTGTCGTACGAGACAAGAGATCATTAAATATTAACGACTTGTACAGACAATCATAAGCGAGAAAGATTATAGTAGGCGTCATGCCTCATCATAATAATTATGTTAATAATAATAATAATAATAATATGAGAAAACAATTCTCGTTTTATTTTTATTTTTTATAGAAGAATTTAAGAAGCATCATTTGGACCATGCATAGGTTTAGTGTTAACGCTTTGTCACAGAATAAAACAAAACAGCAAGTTCACTCCGTCAAAAGTGTATTAATAATTGACTTTTATGAGAAAATCACACAACCAACAATATGCCCAGCCCGTGACTCTGTCTATATTTAAAAATATTTATAATTAAAGGAAGCCTTATATGTAGTCTATAAGATCGTGGTTTTATCTTTTAAATTAGAGCCCGTAGAGAATTAATAACATGGCAAATCTGTTGGTCGTGAGATCATAGGAGTCGACACCGAAAGTGAGCCTACTGCTCCTTCTTATACTGTGACATTGTCTCGGATTATGCATGATATGCACTCTTCTTTTCATCAGATTTATATGCAGTAAGCTCTACGTATATTCGGACACATCTCACACTGAATAGCTTTCTTCATGTTGGACCAAACAACTTGAGAGTTAAAGAATACGTCCTTTACTTTTTTATTCGAGATTTCTACGAATAGTAATTGTTTTACTTTTTTGTAACACTGAAGGCCACTTTCATCAAGCTTCGATTAATTTGATTGATCATTAAGCATAGTTAAGAGCGAAAGATACGCTACTTATAAGTCCAGGGTATCCCAAAAAATTTATCTTTAACTTTGTCAATATATTCTATGGCACTAAATAAAAAAAATATTATGTAAACATAGGCCACATAGAGCTTTAGTAAAGAGTTATGACAAAAATGCGAAATACACGTAATATAGGAATTTTGGCTAATACAGTGGAGCAACAACTAAACTCTTGGAGCAACTCTTAAACATCATGTTAGGCGTTTTACTCTTCATACTTCTTGCCCTTTTATTTACTATGCGTTCTTTTCTACGTCTTTTACATACTTAATTTTGCTATAGATGCATAAAATTCACAGTCTATTTATAAATGATATATTCGAGTTATACATGGCACCGGTGATCCGGTCAACTGGTGCTCTGTTATTCAGTCTTGTCACGCAGTTGACCCTGGTCTCTTTTGCTATTCAGCTCGAGTTCAGTCTTACCGCATATACTCCATCGCTATCTACCTAAAAAACCATTATTTAAAGCGTGTTTGAATGAACTTCTGTCTCGTCCAAAACTGAATCATCAACCGTATCGATCGGTGTTATATCCTATGGTTTATTGCTAGACAACGTAAAATGTTATTCGACGATCTTGGCTTTTATTTAAATTCATTTCCGTGTTATTCGAGGATCTTGGCTTTTATTTAAATTCATTTCTGTGTATCATCAAATTAATAGAGGAACTATATACTTTAGAATCTCTCGATTTTATCTAAACACAATTTTTATGTTTATTAAAATCAACCAGG